AGCGTTGTCCTGGAGACTTTCATTTTGTATGGAAGCACCTGAAGACATGAATCGTGGGTTGATCTTGCCAGAAGACTAAGGCTAATTCGCGTTGTTCTGCAGCCTTTTGTCCTTAACACAACGTTCAATTCTACCCATTTCATAAGATATCCTTCTTGTTTTCGGGTGAAAACGGGCTGAGTTGTTATGTCTCATGTCACTTTATGTACTTCATCAGAGCTGTAAATTATTATTGCAGAAGCTTCAGGCTAACACCAAGTCAATATGACTGTCCGGTTCTATCCTACTTGCTATACATACTCATGACCAGAAAATAAAGTACGCATTTGTAGCTAGTTATCCTTCATATTAATCAAAATACTTTGACTTGGTGCATTTACATGTGTGCATGTTGTGCATGTTTGTGTGTATGTAGGAGCTTAGGTGTATTATAGTCTATATTCGTGTGAGTTAGAGTACACAATGTCGGGCATAACTATGAATAATTTGAAAAGAATCCAACGCCAGACTCGGGTAACAAAAGGTTCAATGTCCTAGGTTCCAATTGTAAAGATGTTGCCAATTGGCATCTCGGACGAAAGCTCGGTCCATTTTCGCCCTAAACGGAGGTGGCTGCATCGTGGACTGCGTTACCCTGAAAGTAGTATGAAAGCTGAACGACTTCTAAGCTAAAGAAATCGGCTTTCCTTTTCCTGTGAGATCAAGCAAAGAATCTCTTTTCATCCACTTTTATGCGAAATCAAAGTCTCCACGTCTATATCATTTCAAAAGATTCACAGAAACTTAGCAACTCTTTGTAGATGAAGCTTCTGCCTCCATCACAGACAGCTCAATAGATCCAGCGATGTTTATTTTTCTACGGTAATGATAATTGTGAATATCGCTAGGCCATCTTAATCAAAGAACCGGATTGCACTAGTATTACTCGTTAAAAAAGAATTTATGGTAATCTTTTTATTTATTAGTAATCATATTTCAAATGGTATCAAAATTTCGAATGGCTATGCTAGCTTCCAGCCTAACCTATGATTGTCAGTGCAAATATTCTGTACTACTTGACTTATTAAAAGTAAGCTGTTGCCTATTTTGTTAAAGTGAAAAGCGACGCGTTCGACTCGCCCCCGCTGCCAACAGTGGTCTGGCTAGCCCTTCACGTTCCGCAGCTACCGTCCTAGCAATGTCGCCTCGGAGGACCCCTCAGTTAACCTCTGGACGCCAGGGCCGAAGTGGATCTCATCGGCTATCACCGGAACTAGACGACCTGGATGCCGATCTCGAGGCTGCCGACGAGCTTATAGCCAGTCTCCAGGGTAACAGCTCACGACAGGTGAACAACAACACGCAGTCCTTGAGCGCCAGGCAACAGCAGTCAAGTGGTAATGATAACAACACTTCCTCTTTAAAAGCCCATATCACACTTTCTTCATGTCACGGCCATTACCGCATTTCGAGTTAATCAAACTAGCAACTGGTTCATGCATTGATTCAATTTTCAGTTGAACAACTTATCCTATTGTAAAGTTAAAGTTATAACTGTTCATTCTTCTAGCTCATAGCTACAGTCAAGCTTTGCTCATACATTTTGTATTATACAAAAAATATCGCTCAAGGCAAATAGGCCCTCAACAATAAGTCACCAAGGCTGCGGGACAGCAGTCCTGAACATTTGGCCATCCCAGAAAGTATATCTGATATGGAACCCTAGCAACCCGAGCTAATGTCAGCAACTTCCCCTGGCCTGCGACCCCGGGTGAATGGAACTCTTATTCATCATTCCTGATAGTTTTGAAGCCTACTCTAAATGAATATAAGAAACTTTTGCTGTTTTCATTTTCCTTCCGATGAACAGATTAGTTTAGCTTAAAATTCGCATAAGGACAAAGAAGTCAAGATGGATATTAAGTAGGATATCTGTTGGAAATTATTGGCCTAAATATTGTCTCCAATACACCCTCATGTCCAGTACCAAGCCAATTTAAGCCCTTGCCCCGCTCGTAGTTAATGGTACGCCATTAGAAATATCTTTATATCACCTAATTCCTTTATAAACATCATCTGAAGAAGGAAAGGGAGCATGCTTCGCCTCTCTTAACCAAATTATTCCAGACCCTCCACCTAGCCAGTAGTCATATCCATTCGACATACGGCTAAAGCACTGCTTGACCCAACCAATGCAGTAAAATGATCTCACATTTTGTATCTCCTCGAGATTGCACATAAGATCCGGGTGAGACCGCAACTGTAGCCCATTCCGAATGGAACAGTCTTTTGGGAGGTAAGGCTATGCCCATTTTAATGGCTTCGATGGGTGTAATTATTTAATTGTTAGGAAATTTGACTTTCAGTCCTACTTCATCTCTACGACTTGGGGTGGAGAAACGTTTTTACCCAAGATCTACTTATATTCTCTTTACATCCTCTTAAGCATGCACAGATCGACTTGCGAGTTAAACACATAATTAAATAATGCAGTTTAACGAACCTGGAAACTCGTGTTGATGGATAGACCATCTGATAATCGAGTTCGGAATGCTATACTTCAATGACCCCTACAGAGTAGTGTAAACTAAGGGTAAATACTTCGCCGGAATATTAATACAGGTGCTCAGGTGCTGTGCTCTCTTGAATTCACACGGAGCAATGGTAAATATGACATGATATCTGGTGCACAGAATGCAGCGACTAATTTACAAGCAGTAAGAGACAATACCTGGAACCTTAGGGTTTTCAGTAAGAATTTTATTATTAAATACTGTATCTCTAAATACTACTAATTGTGAATATGGATTTCCATATTACCTTGCTTAAGTCATAAATTGGCCATTTATAAAACAGAATTCAAATTTATTCTTTAACAATCTATACAATTTTAGCTTCCGAATTAATACTCGGACGATAATTTATTATGAGAAATCCTAAACAATATCACTCGTGGACTTACAAAATTTAATAAGCATCAACGCACAGCTTTATTTTACTGGCTCACAAAAGCTGATTTTAGGAGGCAAATGTATCTTTAAGTT